GGCAAGCTTTGGGGCACAGAAGTCTTTAGTGGACTCTGCTTTGTGCCTGCCCAGATCCATTTCCCCTTCTTCTGTAACAGCACCTCCATTTTCCTATTGAGGCCCTTCTTTCCCTTCAGTCAGTCCATGAGGTGCTGGTGGGTCTACACGAGTGGACATGTGACTCAGGCCCGGGCAATTGGAGAGGGCCTTACCCCCGCGTCAAGTTAATTGGAGTAAATCCTTGGGATTTAGCTGGAAGCCTTAGGAGAGAGGCAGGCTTTTCCCACTGAGGTTGCACTACCTGGTAGAATTTGAATACTGTAGGTCATCTTGGCATCACATGGGAAGAGCCCAACCAAGAATAAAGCCAACCAGAGATGGGTAGAGTCAAGAGATGGTGTGTGGGTAATTTTATGTGTCAACTTGGCTAGGCCGCAGTACTCAGATATTCAGTCAAACATGTCTGGATGTTGCTGTGAAGGTATTTTTTTAAAGATGAAATTAACCTTTAAATTAGTGTACTTTGAGTAAAGATTATCCTTCATAACATGGATTGGCCTCATCCAATCAGGTGAAGGATTTAATTGGAAAAAGACTGATGTCCTCTGAGGAAGAGGGAATTCTATCTCTAGACTGTCTTTAGATTCGAGCTGCAATATCAGTTCTTTCCTGGGTCTCTAGGCTGCTGGCCTGTCCTGCAGATTTTGGACTTGCCAAGCTCTGTAACTGTGTGACCTAATTTCTTAAAATCTCTTCTCCCTCCCCCTCTCTCCCCTATTCCTCTCCCCCTCCCCCTTCCCCTCTCTCTTTCTTCCTTCTCCCCTCCCCCTCCCTCCCCTTCTCCCTCATCCTCATCCCCTAACACTTATAGAGAGCCAGAACAGATCCCTGATGTTATTGTTTTAACTCTTGGATCCAGCCACACCTGATATCAAATGCTCCTGGATTTTTCACTTAAGTGTTCATCTCGACTTGGGTTCCTGTCACCCACAACTCAAAGGGTCCATCTCAGGAGGGAGCAGTAGCTCACACTGACTGAGCTCTCATTCCATGCCAGGCCCAGTATTCCTCTTTTACAACTGACCTGGGCCTTGAAGTATGCATAGAAGTTCATGGGGGCATGCAGAGGACAGGGTACAGTGAACCTGTGCAAAGACACAGACAAGCGAGAGAGCATGGCAAGCCCAGGACAGCAGAGTTCCGTGTGGCTGAAGTGAGACAAGCGATTGGCAAGGGACTGGCTAGGGAGTTGTCGGGGGTCAGGTGATGGAGGACTTTATATGCCAGGCTGAGGAGTTTGGACTTTGTCCAGAGGACAGCATGGGAGGTGTTGAAAACTTTTAATGAGAGCTAAGTTTTGGCTGGTTCACTCTGTAAAGGACACGATGAAGCGGAGAGGATAGAAGCAGAAAGGAATTATTTTACAGTTGGAGTTTCCCATGGTGCTTCTGAAATCACATTCTGAATGTCATTTCTTTCTCACCTACTCAAAGCAGTATAGCATGGTGGTTAATGATATGGACTCTTGGAGCTGACCTGCCCCGGTCTACCCCCGGGCTCTGCCACTTACTGTCTATTTAACCACAGGAATGTCTTGGTGCCCCAGTTAACAATGAAGATAACATTATTGTCTACCTCTTAGTAATATCTTGTAATGACTGAATGTCATTCTGTGTTTAGGGCTCGGTACAGTGCTTGACACATAGTAAACACCTAGCAGTTAGTAGCAATCTTACCCCTGCCAAGGCCAGTGGGTGGGCTCCTGGGCTGCAACCTCCAAGCCCCAGGAAGACAGCTGCTACAGGGCCTCTGGCCCTCTGCTCTCTCCCTGTGCCAGCCCCGCTTGCCTTTCCTGGGGGGCCATGCCTGCGCTCCCCTGTTCTCACAGAGCATGGCCAGCCCGGGCCCCAGGGAGCTGGAAAGGGTCACTGCAAGGACAGGCGGAGAAAAGGGCTTTCGGCTCTGAAAACAGATTTTTATCCAAATCTCAAGCTTGGGGATTAGGCTGGAATTGGGTGAAAACAAGCTTCATAACCCTGCACAGGCCCAAAGTGGGTGTTTCTGAGGCAGAGTCTATACACTCAGCCCTTGAACTCTGACTTCTAGATGCAAAGGTGAGAGGCTCAAGGCCAGCTCAGCAAACCCAGGGACTAGCTGTGAGAAGCAACTTCAATGACTCTAAAAGTTTAGAGTCAAAGGGCACTTTGAATTCCCATCCTTTTTCGGTTTTGTTTCTACGGTGTGGTACAACAGAAATGGCAGCTCTGCCACCAAGTTAGGGGAACATTGGACAAGTCACTTTCTCCTTGGCTTCAATTTTTCTGAATACCCAATGATGGGAGGTAGGTTCAAAGGTGGTGAGTATGGTTCCTCTTGTGAGCCAGATTTGGTCAGTCATTAGGGGCTGCCTGATTGGCTGGTTAGACAGAGCTCTGGGATTAATGAAGCAGTGATGTCTGCCATGTGTGTGGGAGCCAATGGGTGGCATATGGGCAGTCTTTTGTTTGTAGGGATTTTAATCTTGGATACTCGGTCTTGGCACTGAAGTGGATTCCCATGTCTGGCCCAGTCCCCCCAGTGGACTCTGGCCTCAGCAGTGCCCCTCAAGGCCCCCATAGAAGGTCAGGAACTGCTTAGGACCCCCCTCTACACACATTCTCTAGACCATTCCACTTCTTACCTGGTTAACACCAGTGTCTGCTGGGGAGAGCTATGAACTTTGGGTTTAACACTGGACCACTTTCCAATAAGTGAGAATTGATTTCCTGGATGATAGTGAAGGAGTCAGGCCTCGTAAAAGATGAAGCTGAAGCCCATGGTAGCCCCTATACTGTGCCAGCCCTAGCGACCTTGCGGCTCAGGACGTATGTCCCCCACGACCCCAGGCCTCCCTCATTCCCTCTTCCCGCCCTGCCCAGTGGCACAGCTTCCCTGCTGGTCTCCTCTAACCAGGGGCTCAGAGTCCTCTTCAGTGTTTCACTCATCAAGTCTTACTAAGCACTGATAAACTCATTCACTCTGAGGTGCCAAGAACTAAGAATAGCTGGAGATAAATTTCAAACGGTGAGATTCCAGGCATCAACAAGCCAAAGGTCTCGGGAGCAGTATTTGTAAGTCGGGGAGGAGGTAACCATCACCAAACAGCAGAACGTTAGCTGTTCTTCAATTGTGGGGAAGATTGTTCTGCCGACAGTCTAGAACCTGAGACATTCTATGAGGGTTGCCCTGCCCTGTGTATCACATAGTGAAGTAGGGTGTGGTCTCAGGGGTCAGGGTGCCTGGGCTTTGAATGGCAGCTCTACTACTTCTTCACATGTGGCCTAGCGAAAGTCACTTAATCTTTCGTACCTCAATTTTCTCTTAATAAAATGAGGTTGGTGATAATAGTAGTACCTACCGTGTAGAGTTGTTGAGGGGAATAGATGAGTTTAGCACTTAGAACAGTAGCTGGCATAAAATTAGTGCTACCTAAGTGTCGGCTGTTATCATTAGGCTCTTTTGGGGGCCATGCGCCAATCCCTGTCATTGCAGCTTGAGATGACAGATACCAAAATTCAATCCAGGCCTAGCACATAATAGGTGGCAGCAAGTATGATCCCCTCTTTTTACCTCCATTTTGAAATTGTCTCTAGAGCCAGGTTGGGAGCTACATAAAACACAGAGAATTCTTATCTCTGGGAGCCAGCTATTAGAAGGTCATTGTGGTTTTGTCTCTCCTGAGATCAGAATGTCCAGTAGATTCTCTCTTTTTTTTTGTTTCTCTGCCCCTCCCATTGATCATGATTCACTGCCCGCAGTCCCTGGTGCCTCAGCAGTCATGTTGGGTACATGACCCTGCCCTCCAGTCACAGCTAACTGGACCTGGGGATGGTCCCTGATCCTAGAGTTGCCCACTCAGGTGAAAGGTCACCTAGAGTTAGGCAGAAGATTATGATGGCCATGTTCAAGCTCTGAAGATACAGAGGAAGCTGGTGGCAGAGAAAGGAGGCCTAAATGGAGAACACTGCTCCTCCAAGACGCCTTGAATCAGAACCACCTTCCACTTTCGGTTACGAGCCCTGGGACACCACGTCTCCTTGCCTTGGATTTCCATGAGATGCTTCTACTGATTCCTTCCTTCCTTCCCTGGAGCTAGCCTGAGAGTGTCCCTAGGCCCCTGTAACCAGAAGAACCAGACTTGCCTTCTGCCAGCCCCTTGGAGTTACACCCTCCAGCCTCAAACCCTTGCCTCCTTCCATGAGTTTCTGCTGGGTATAATTTCATGGATGGAGCAGACCCCCTGCACCTCCCTCATATTTTGTCTTGGCGCCCTCTAGAGAAGCAGCTGTGGCTATGCTGTTCTTGAGAGGAGCTGGGGCTCCCCACTCCTTGAGGCAACTTTCTGGAGCTCCTGCCTTTCTAGAATTGAGCCAAGTCCCTACCACATGGGCTTCATTTCTTGCTATCTTTCTGCTGAGAAGACACTGAAGCCCAGCTCTGCTGGTCTCCTGCTGCCCCAGCCCCTGCTGCAAGCCAGCCCCTGGCCATTTCATCATGTCCTTTATGTCAGACCCAAATCTCAGCACTGGATTCCATTTCTCATTCTTGAATAGGAGCCAAAATCTTATGCGTTTTTTTATTTGACAGTCTTGAACCTGCCGCCCAAATCCATACTCACTCCCATAAATTAGAAAAAGAAATCTGCTTATTTTTTAATGACTTCAGAGTAAAGTTTGTGGCAGCAATATTAGCAGAATGACAGCAGGACCAAGAGAGGGATAGAGTGAGAGGCTTAAGAGTCAGGTCCTATTAGATTTCAAGGGAGGAGTCTTCTGGGGCTGGAAGAGACCAAATTCACAGGGCCAGAAGGAAGACATGAGAGTCTGGATCTCAGAGGCCTTTTTCAGGAGAGCTGGCTGCTCCCTCCCTCCACGCCGGCCTTCAGAGGAATGGCCCGAGGTGTTCCTTGTGCAGCCCTACTTCAGAGCCAATGGGAGTCTAAAATCTCTGGGTGCTGGCTATGGGTTTTCAGGGTGCCTGCAGGCTGGAGTCTCTCAAGGCTGGTTCTAGGCTTTGTATTCAGAAGAGTGAGTCCAGAGCTCAGTGTCTTCTAGGGATGAATCTGGTTTCTCCTTCTGGACTTCAGAAGAAGGTCCTGTGGGGAAGAAGAAACAGACCAGGTGGGTACAGGCCTTGTAGGTGCACACTCAGCCCAGGGCAGGGCCTTACAATAGGGAGGACACCCCAGTGGCACAAAGCCCTGCCAACCTCTAGAGGCCCCTCTTGGTGCAGGCCCCAAGCAGCTACACACCAGCCATAGCCACAGCACACAGAAGGCCAGGGAGAAAGCAGAAGCGACACCTGGGGTGAGGTAGGAGGGGACCAGAAGGCAGAGGGGCTGGGTTCCCTCACAAAGAACACATGACAAGTGACAGAAAACATAGGGTCACTGAGGCCATCCCAGAAGCCATGACATAGCAGGCCAACTGTCTTGGGAGCATGAGGCCCTAATGTTTTGAGAAACTTGTAACAGAAAAGTCAGTAAGTCCAGGCTTGAGCCTGCCGCAGATGTTGCCAGCTGTGGGCTTTAGACCACACCAAACACCAGTTTCATAGCCACCTGCAAGCTCTGTTCATGGGCACAGCCCTGTCACAGAGTGGGAAACACATTCCAAAGCTGGGCTCCACAGTGTCCCACAGATAAGAATCCAGAACCAAAGAGAGAGAAGGCACAGAGGACAGTTTGGTCTGAGCAGGGCTCAGGCCATGACAGGTCACAACAGGACATGAACAACCTCAATAGGCCAACGCTGGTTCTTTGGACCAGCCTTAATTTCCTCTTAATTACCCTGGTTCTGCCCAAATATGGGGCCCAGTGGAGCAGGGGTCCCAGAGGGTAGTACACCGAGGGAAGGGGAAATCCAGGCTGTGCTCCCTTTGGGCTCTCCCAGCCCATCATGCATGGTTTGAGGCACTGTCTGTGCCCAGAGGAGAATGGTGCTCACTGCTCCATCTTGCTCATCTGGGTGCTGCCTGGGACCTAAGGCAGGTCCTAAGAGCTGTGGTGAGTCAGGATGGCCAGGTCCTAAGCCTGCTACAAACTGGGCTCTGCTTAGGTCTCCTGAGTGGGAGGGCCTTTGAGTCTGACAGAATTCCACTGTGGCCAACAGCAGGCCCATGTGGCACTTCAGGGAGGGTGCCTCGTACACTCCACCAGACACCAGTCCAAAGAACCTGCCTACAGCACGGATAGCAGATGGCCACTACACGCAGCATGGACAGACGGGGCCCTGCAGCCCGCCTGCCTAGTCACCGTGGGGGGCCGCCAGGTTCCAGCTGCAGGAGGAACCCGTGTCTATACACGGGAGCACGGTCTTCAAGCTTTCTGACTGACTGGGGGCTTTCGGCTGCAGAGGAGGGAAGAGAAGAGCTACATACGCAGAGCAGAACAGGAAACACAAAACAGGGCTCGGTTATTCCCAGGCAGAGCTCCGCTGGACCTCTCCCTTCGCTTGGCTCCTGCCTAGGCCCTGGGTTCCAAAATTAGTGGCTAGAAGGCCTTGATTTCTCCAAGATATGCACAGAACTCAGCCTCCGCTGGGCAGGGGGAGCAAGCAGGCACAGCCACAACAGGCAAGCACGGGGGTAGGAAGGCGATATGATGAGATGAGGATGGAGGCCAGACACAGTGACAGAGACAGAGAAAGAGAGATAAAAGTGGATGCAGAGCGATAAAGACAGAGAAGCAGGGACTCAGAGCCAGAGGTAGAGAGAAGCAAGCAAAGGAGAGGGCAAGAAAAAAGAGAGAGGGCGATGAAGGGAAGAAGGATGAAAGAGAAAAAGAGAGGCGGATGGGAGAGAGAGATTGCCAGGAAGGATGGGGGACAGGGAGAAAGGGGAAAGAGCAGAAAGATATTGAGATAGAGAGAGTGAGATGGAGAGATGCACAGATACAGAGACAGAAATGAAACAGATACAGAGAGAGATAGACATACAGGGAATCGCAGAGAAAGATGGAGTCTGGGCCAGTGGAGATCCCGCAGGTGAGGCCAAAGCCTGTGGTCTTGGCAGCTTAGAGAGTCAGCAAGAGAGGATGCAGTTACCTATCAGGAAGACCTTCCAGAGAGTCAAAGACACAGAAATTTTAAACTAGCTGATGATGGTGCGGGGCATAAAGTTCTTAGTGGAGAATCAGAAGTCCCGAGGCCTTGTCCCAACTTCATCGTTTACTTGGTCTGAGACCTTAACCTCTCTGGGCCTCAGTTTTCAATATGTAAAGAAGGATTTGGATGAGACAGTGTTGAAGGCAGGTCTACCAATGCTAGAGGACTTAATCCTAGGCTTTCTAGGAGTTATTACTACTAGAAGCTCTGTGCTTAGGTTATGCCTTCAGGCTGGATGTAGGTAACCCAGACGGGCTGGGAGAAGGTAGCCAAGATTCTGGAGGAGGGGAGGCAGAGGAGGTAGTGGGCCAGGCTCCCACACACACTTACAGCTCATCATCGTACTCCTTGGGGGGACAGACAGCAACAACAAGGTCGATCCAGTCCTGCAGGGAGAAGGTGTGTGACTCTGGGTGCATGCTCAGGGGTCAATGGCATGTCTGCCCTTTACACTCCATTCCCATTCCTGGGCACTCTAGCCCAGGATCAGCTGGCTGGGCCCTTCTTCCCATGGGAAGGTGAGGCCATGTGGGGCTGGAGGACTTCCTGGTGGGGATGGACCTCACTGTGCAGTCTCATGGTCTGGAGAAACTTCCAGTCTCTGAGGCTTCAGAACCATAGAAGCCAGGGTTGCCAGGCCCATGAAAGACGCTAAATTCCCAAATGTTGATCTGTGGATGAGGGCCAGCCAGCAACCTCAGGGTCACTTGGGGAATTTCTTAAACTTCTAGACTCATAGACTTGGCCCCTGGAAATCTGGGGTAGGTCCTGGGAAACAGTATTTTTAACAAGTTCCCTAGTTCATTCTGATGCACAGCCAATTGGGGGAATTTCAGGCATAGCTTTCTGATCCTAACACATAAATCCCCTCAATGGCATCACTGCCATCCTTGGCTTATCCATCGTTGTCCATCTTGGCTTGGGTGTACCCAATAAAAAGTATGTGAACTATCACTGGGCCCCTCTGCTATGCAATAGCTCCTAATATTGAAGGGAAATCTCTTCCCAGGACCTCCCTCCATCTAATCCAGTCCTTCCCTCAAGAACCACAGAGAATACTTCTGTTCCTTCTACTTTAATTCAGCCCTTCAGATAGTCAAAGACAGTCATCATGTTACCCGTAAGTCTTCTCTTCTCCATATCCCTTCATGTGGGTCCCAGTCCCATCTGGTCAGCTTCCTCGGCACTGAACTTAATACCTCAGGCTCGGCTGCCTGCATACAGTTGCACAGGTTGTGCATTGCACAACATGAGTGGGTACCATTCACGCTGTACTTGGTAGGAGGACACCCCCTCGGATTGTGCAGTGCACAGCCCGGGAGACTTTATGTGGTGGCTGTGACCTAGGTGGATATCTAATGAGCACAGAGCAGACTACCATCAGCCCCTCCTCCGTTCTGGGCCCTCTACTTTGGTTAATGCTTTCCAATAGCCCCAAGAACTCTCTTGATTCTTGATCAGTGTACACTTAGAGAAGACCTTCAGTGTTTTCTTCGGGTGGATTGTCACACCTGATCTTCTGGAGTCTGTATTTGTGTCACTTGTGTTTTGGATTCAAGATCAAGATCTGACACTTATTTTTCTGAACCCCATTTTGTCGGATTGAGACCATTGAGTGGATGGGGTATGTGGGTGTCACCCAAGAGTTGCCTGGACCCTGGATACCCACCCTGGGATGGGACACCCCGACTGTAAGGCCTGGCTGCAGAGGCCTGGGTCTGAGGCAGGCAGGCAAGGGAGGGAGGCAGGGAGGGGGTTCCCTCTTACCCCCTGATTCCAGGCCTTCTGCAGGGCGGCCTCAGCCTCAGCCAGGGTGTAGTCCGTCACAATCTTGCCATTGATCGCCATGACCTCATCCCCTTTCACAATGCCACCTGCAGGAAGATGAGGCTGATTGGCCAACTGGGCTGTATGTGACATGTGCCTAGCCCAGGGCTTGGTAAAGGGGGTCACGGTAAGGTTGCAGAATGAGCCTGAGCCCTGGATTCTGAAAGCTTACCTAAGCTCAGGAAGCATGAGGGGAAATAATCTACCAGGTTACTCAAAGGGCACTTCCTTCCCTCACCATCTACAAGCCCTCACCCCGATCAGTAGGGTAGGGACACCAGTGATGAATCTTTGCTACCCCAGCTTTTCTGTGGACCTCTGCTATTGCAGAGGGAGGTAGATCTGCATTCCCAGTGAGGTTACTGGAAACACGAGCTAGTTCTATGAGCCATCTCTCTCTGTGCTCCGGCCCTGCTGGTCTGCTTCAGGTCCCTGAGCAGGCTGATCACTCTCTTGCCTCAGAGTCTTCACAGGTTGTCCTACCTGGATCCCTTGTCCCCTCTCTCTTTCTTCTCTTCTAGGTCTGAGATGAAATGTCTCCTCTTCAGAGAGGACTTTTCTGACCCTCGCTCACTCTAAAGTAGATCTTTTTCCTTTTATTCTCTCATAGTTTCCTGGTCTTTTTCTGCATAGCGTTTTTCACGATTTGTAATTATATATCTATTTTTTGACTAAAGGTCTCTTCTCTGTCAGTTCCATGAGAGTAGAAATTATCTTTTTGGCTCAATGCTATATCCCCAGCACTTAACATAATACCTAGCACAAAACAGGAATTCAATAGATATTTTTTGAATAAATGAATGATGTTGGAGGTGTTCCTGGATAACAGGTGATCTAATAAATTAGGGAAAAGTTGACTTAAAAGTTAAATAGTTACTGATTACAGGACTTCTCAGAACATTGAATATGCTAATATGTATGTGGCTCTCTAAGAAGTAGAGAAATTGTGAACGGTTTCCTACATATCTTCAACTTCAGAATCTTTTATTTATTTATTTTTTTAAGGAATTTCTCCCAGTCCTGGTGTCCATAGAATACTTCCTATCTTCAACTTCAGAATCTTTTTTTTTTTTTTTTTAGGAATTTCTCCCAGTCCTGGTGTCCACAGAATACTTTCTGGGTTTGTTGAAATGGATCACCTAGAAGAAGCTTTATGGGCCTAAAGGCCCATGGAAAATGTGGTGTATGTTTCTGCAGATGGTGGCTTTGGTGGCTTTTTACACATATACTCCTGGAGAAACTTTCACCAGCTGCTTCTATGTCCAAAGGAGTGTGGGACTAAACCGTAGAGAGCAGTTTCCTCTGGATAGTGGGCCTGAGGAGAGGCGACTTTTTTACTTTTTCATTTTGTGCAAGCCCACGATGAAGCTTCAGGGGCAATAAGGCAGTGGTTGGGCTGGGGCTTTGTAAGTGGGGTCAGTGGGTGGGTCAGAAAAAGTCAGACATTCATCCTAGTCCTCTTTACCTGCTAGACATAGCAGATGGGTGGCCTCCCCAGGCCAAGCATCAGCCCTACCCTCAGTTGGCCCAGAAAGAGGACAGAGGAGGTGGGTGTGGGAGAAGTGGGCAGCAGTGGCTATGGCAGCTGCCTAGCTGAGTAGGGCTCCCTCCTATAGCTGAAATAGAGGTCTAGAGTGTGGCAGTGAGGGGCCTGAGGTCACCAAGGTCATGGGTGGCAGAGCTGGACTTGCCTTACTACTCCACAGAAGTCTGTCTGCCAGCAACCAGGTGACTTTCCCATCACTCCACCTCTAGCCTCAGGCCCTCCCCCACTCTCTGTTCTACCATCTTGGGCTAGTGGAAGAGCTTGATTCCAGCCTAGCACTGCCCAGAAGGGATCTGTTCACAGGATTCCCTGTTCTGGCCCAGAAAAGTGAGGGGCCTGGAGCGCCTTGTCTGAGGGCACCTATGCTTCCACAGAGGACTTGGGAGTACCGAAAAGCCTCCTGGACTTAGAAGAAGAAATCACTAGTATTGGAGTTTCAGACACTGTCTGACAGGTGAATGGGTCGATAGTTTGAGGCAAGACTCTGTGCCTGGGGTCCTCAAAGGCTTCATTCATCTACAGAAGGTGTTTTTGTTGATAAGCGATAAAGGCAAAGCAAGAAGACCATGCCACACGATGGACACAGAGTGTGAGGCATGTACCGTGTCCCTCTGGGATGGCCCAGGCAGAGGTGGCACATCTGCTGGGCAGTATAGCAAAATGACCAAACTGCTTGGGTTCAGGTCCTGCATCCACTGCTTACTGGCCATGGGTCCTTGACCAAGTGCTTTAACCTTTCTGTGCCTCAGTTTCCTAAGCTGTAAAATGAGGTGGTTTAGGGGCTTCTCAGAATTCCCACAGCTTCCCTCCACCCCTTAGACCTCTTTCAGCCCTTAGCAGGCCACATTTCTATTGTCAGCACCTAACAATTCTGAGCACATTTCACCATAGGATGGGGAGCCCTTGGAGGGCAGGGTGATAATCTGGTTTGGCTGTGTACCCACAGGTCCTGCCACCATCATATGCACGCAGGCAACATGTGGGACTGGGTGGATGGATCCAGGTAGGGGGCATTCTTGAGCAACTGTCAACCCCCTCCAAGTGGGCAGCTGTTCTTTCTGGAGAGACCTATATAACCACTGTATCATCCTCACATTGGGGCATGGTTGTCCCCACTCACCATGCCGCTCAGCGGCTCCCCCCTCATAAACAGCTGAGACGACCACCTTGCCGATTGGGGAGTCCACGCCACCTTCCAGGGCCAGGTCTAAGGATCCCTCCTGGTTAGAGAAAAACAGGCCTTAGGGAGCCAAGCAGACAGCAGCCTGTGGGCACCTAGACACCAAGGAGCCTCTTGACAGGGCCACAGAGAGGACGGGAGAAGCCGTGGGGCCAATGGCAGTGCCATAGGGAGAAAATGAGGCACATATGCCAAGTGGGGCCTGGGCTTGGGGTCCCACGACAAGATGGGACACCCTCAGGGGGAGAGAGAGGCATAGTGGGGATCTGAGGGGTCACCCAGGAGTCATCATGAGAGTAAGAGAAGCAGGGGACCAAGATGGGAGGGGGCGGGGGCAGAGAAGGGTGGTGGCTACCTGACCTCCATGTGCCCAGGTACCTTCTTAATGCGCAGGAGCCGGATATCCTTCCCTATGATTTGCTCTGGGGTGAACTAGAGGGAAAAGACAGTGGGGGAGCTTTGAGTCCACCCGAAGGATGGGAGTGGGGCAGGGTTGGAGGGGAATCCAGGCACCTGTGGAACACTGAGCCCCACAGGACATGAACGAGGGGACCTTTCCTAGCCCCACGCCCATCAGTCTTCAACTGTGGTTTCCAGGCCCCACGTGGGACACATGGACACACACCTAGAGGTGGCCACGCAAACCCCAGATCCATTCTTCCTGGGAGTATTGTGAGAGTGGTGTCTTGTAAACACACAACACAGTGCCTGGCATGTAGTTAGTGCTTGGTAAGTGTAACTGTTGTTATAAACCACACACACCCCCACACACACACACACACACACCAGCTATACACTTCACATTGGAATGCCATTTGAAAGGAGCCTTCACAGGAAAATGCAGTTGGGCCTCCTTTGGGCTCCTCATGTGCCCAGTCTCATTCCTGGAACACCCGCACCCAGGGCCCTGAATGCACCACCACCAACCACAATGTACTCCCATGCCCCCCATTCCTGGGGTTACTCCTTGGGGAAGGAGAATTCTCTCTCACCATGGAGTAGGGGTCAAATCCTTCCTCATATTTCCGGAAATCCTGGAAACAAAGAAAGGTGTTAGGGCGACAGAGCGGAGGCCCTTGAGGGTCACTGCAGGGAACAAGGGTAGGGCAGAGGAAGATCAGAGTAAATGGGTCAGAGCGAGGGGAGAGAGTAGGGGCAGGCAGATGTGGACTAGGGGGGAGATGAAGGGAGGAGGCTGGCAGCCCCGACAGCCAGAGTAGCCCTGCTGTAGCAGGGAGCTATGGGAAGCATTAGAAGGACTTCGGCCCTGGACTCTGTCTGCACTGCTCCAGCATGGTGGGTGTCTGTGGCTGGCAGGGGCACCGGCTTATACCTAAGTGGTCTGGGCAGGCAGTGTCAGCGTTGCCGAAGGTCTCATTGCCTGCAGGCCCTTCCTCCGTTCCTCCAAGTGCCCTGCAAGGCCAGGTCCAGGCTCTGGTGGGTGAAGCCCAGTTTTTCTCCACCCAGTGCTCTGACTCCAAAGAAGGACCAACGCTGCTCGAGGGGCTGCTCTCTCTGGGGAATCCGGCCACAAGATGATGGGAAGCAGAGCAAAGGCATGAAGCACTAAGAGGAAAAGCAGGGGGCCTGTACTTGTCTGTGCCCAGCACTGTTCCTAACGTAATGCTTAACTGGAAAGCAAGAGGCTTCCCAGAGCCTTAGCCAGGGGAGGAGGAAAGACACACAGCTCAGGGGACCTGGTTTGGTAGGGGCTGTGGGAACAATATCCCCAAGAAACAGAGACAAGGTGGTGAGAAGGAAGAAGGGGCAGAGCCAGAACACGCCGCCTTCCCAGGTGTCACGCAGAGAGAGCTGGGGCCCAGGATGCACAGGCTGAGGGGCCAGGTACACCAGCCCAAGAGCAGCAAAGCCTCGTTAGTCCCCATGAGAGGTGGGAGCGAAGGAGAGGCCCTGCTGGATTGAGTGGAGCAGCCTCCAGCACACCGTTCCCCAGGCCACACCAAATGTCCCCAGGGCCTGTGGTCAGCATCATAGGGAAGTCACAGCCTCCTCTACGCCCAGCATGCAGCAACCAAGCTCTGGGCACGAGACAAGGGCCAAATATCAGCAGATGGATTCTTGAGCATCTGCCTGTCCTCCCTCCTCACTCATCGTCATCGCCCAGGCTCAACCCCAAAGAGCCTTGGTGGCCATCAGACTAACCCACCCCCAGGTTAGTCTGAGTATTAGAGAAGCAGAGGAGAGGTTGCAGCAAATCCATAGGTAAGAGGGGTTATTAAGCAGGATCTAGAGTCCATGCTCTTTTTACTGAGGATCCTGCCTGTTTTCTTCCGAAAAAACTGGGCAGTGCTTGCTATGGGCCTCCTCTTCTCCTCCCCACTGAGAATCCACTCTCAGGGATGGGCCAGATGACAAGTACTTGTGTCTTGTGTAAATTCAGATCAGACACCTATAAGCCACTACAGCTGGTCAGCCCTTGAAGGGGGAGCCCCACCCTTCATCCAACAGTTGGAGAAAGTGAGGCCCAGAGAGGCGACATTCATGCTCGAGGTCACCCAGTCAGTGGGCAGTGGAGCAAGGGTTTGACTCTCAGTCTGGGCCTTTGGATTTCTTGTCTGCCTGCCTCTCCCGCTTCGAGACCTGTTTGTGCTCTAAACAACAAGGCCCTTAAATGTCTATTTTATAATTGCGGTGCTTTGGGAAGCAGGATAGTGGGGTATCCAGGAGCCCGACCTCCTGGATTAAAATCTGGGGTCTGATACTAGCTGTGGCATCATGGGCGTATTTCCTAATCCCTCTGCCTTAGTTTCTCATCTACAAAATGAGATGATAATAGCACTTAATTTCTAGGTCGTTGTAAAAGTTTAATAAGTTAATATATATAAAGCATTTAAAAACAGTGCTTGACACAGAACATCTTCTAAGTGTTGGCTGGTGGCTGTCACTGCTCAGTCCTAGATGGGGGGGCAGCCTCCTTTTCAGACACCCATGTCTTATTATATAGCAGATACCTCTCCTTTTCTCCCTGACTGTAGTCAAATCAACCTGTTGTCACATTGGGGGTTATCAGTGAGAAGGTTGGCTGCAAGATCTCCCTCCATCTGGGGGTCCCTTTCATTGGTAGTGAGATGGTTAATCCAATGGATGCCTCTGTGGATGTAAGCTCCAGGGGGTAGGGAGGATAAGTGGCTGCCTGCCTGCCACTCATGGACCAGTAAGGACTTCTGCAGCCCTGTGCACAGGAGGGCTCCAGGCAGATAAAGGACCTGGGCCACCATTCCTCCCTGATGCTGGTTTGGTTCCAGGTGGAGTTGGGTGAAACTGTGCTCTGCCTTGAGGGGACAAGACAGGGGAAAGGGCAGGGAGGCTCTTCAGCCAGCCCCTTCTTCTCTTCTAGGGCTGAGGCAAGAGCTCATCTTGGCCTCTGCGACCCGCTAAGGATTCCCTTTGCCTTGTTCCTCTTTGAATAAACAGCAGCAAAAGAGCCAAGCCCCCAGGGACCCTGATGCTTTCTCAGCTTGGGCATGGGGTCCAACAAGCCCAGTGCCCCCACCTGATATGAGACCTTCCCCAAACCCTGGCTGTGGCAACGGGAACACAGCTCTGGCTTGAGGCTTCCAGCAGATGGTGCTTGGGGTCACCTCAGAGCCAACTAGCACCCCCAGAGAGAGAGTCAGAATGGGAGGCACAGGGGGTGACAGGGAGGACCACAGAAACACGACGGGTATCGTTTTACTTGTCTGAATGCTGTCTGATAAACCACCATCCTCTTCAACATCTCCTGTGGCTGCCAGAAAAAAAAAAAGTTCCATCCTGGATGTTACCAGTAGGTCTCATCTGCCCCCTGGTGCCAGACCCTGGGCCTGCCAGCCTGGGGCTGCCCTGACAACATCCTTCTGCAAACAGACACAGCCTGATTTAGTTACAGCTCACTCCACATCCTCAGACACAGCAGCTACTCAGTTCTAGTCAAGCAGACACCACCCCTTGTCATCAGCCAGAGAATGTGATGCGGATACATCAGGTTGTCACAGGAGCATGAACTTTGCTCTTTGGGGATCTGATGGGCCAGCTAAAGCTCAAAATAAGCATCTGAGCTTCCCTGTCCTGACATTTGGATAGGGTTTCCTTGAAAGGAGAATAAGAATTCTGGCATGACTCTTCTCATTATGGGCAGGGGGCTAGTCAGTGACCAGTGCCACCGGAACAGGGTGCACATACGTCCCAACTCGCTCAGCTGCAGGAGACTGAGGGTGGGCAGACCCTCCCCGCTCCCGCAGGACCACGCCTCACAGTCCCAGTCCCAGTGAGGAGTGAGAACTGAAGTGGAGAAAGGGAGTGGATTGGCTCTGGCCAGTTCCCCATCCACGCCACCACCATGGCAGGCCTTAGAGGCAGAGGCCAGGGCAACTGGAATCACCGTAGGTTTTGGCAAGATGGCAATGCAGGGTAAGAGTTTGGGCTTTGGAGTCTGAAAGACTCCGGAGTAAATGGTAAGTCCTGGCTCTTCTTTGGGAAACCAACTTAACTTCTCTAAGTCTTGGTTTCCTCGAATGTGAAGCAGGGATAACAGGTACCATCTCACTGGACTGTTGTGAGGATTAAATGAACCTGACCCATGGCAGGCTCATAAGTCTGAACTGTTATTTTTGATTGCTTTTAGATGGAGCTCCAGCCTGTTTGGTTAAGTGGGGAAAAGGAATTTCACTGGTTGTGTCAACCACTTACACCTATGTGGATTCCTCTCCTGGCCAATGAGAAGATTAGGAGATGGCACCTGATGTGAGTTTGTACCCCATCTCACTCCCCCTAGAGTAAAACCCAGGGGAGACAGCCCTGGTCTGCTCCTCCAGAGATGCCCTGGAGGGGACCTGAGGGGCTTACCAGGACCTCGGATTTCACAGCTGGCCTGTAGATAAAGTTGGACTCCTGGTGGACCATGACAGGCTTGGAGATGGTAGACACGCCAGGGCCTCGTGGAGGCTGTGGGCTTGGGCAAAACGTCTACAGGGGTTAGTTCAAGAGAGACCCATGTGAGGTCATGACAGTGGTGGCCCAGGTCAACCATGGCACTCCCACACCCATGCAAATTCACACCATGCACATGCTGAGCCAGCCTGCTCCATTCACCATGCCAGAGGACCTAGGGGTGTGATCCGCAGCAGAGAGGTGAGAAATCCACTGGCCACAGTGTGCCCTGAGGTCGCAGAAACTACTGGCTGTCTCTAAGGAATCAGGGACTTGAGCCAGAGTCTGACTAGGGGGGCGCCAGCAGCCACTGTCACTCAAAAGATAGGCTTTCAAGGCTTTCTCTCAGTAGTGGATGCCATCCAGCCTCCTCTCTTGCTAAGAGTTCTCTCTTCTGGCCACAGTTCTGGTCTCCAGACTGCACACAAAGCACCTGCTGTTCCTGGTGGGTGGGCACAGAGCCTCTGGAGGCTTGGGGTGAGGACCAGTAAGAGAGGCATCAGGAGAGCTGGTACACTGTCTGCTTTGCTCTAACTCACTTGATTATTTTGGGTGAGGCAAATCAAATTGGGTCACAACCCTGCCCCAGACCCTTGATGGGTCTCCCACTGACTACTGAGCTCCTTGGCTTGACCCTAATGTCCTTCATGAGCTTCTCTACCTTCCTTTACAGACTCATCCCTCACTCCTTCTTACTCTCCTGACACTGCCTAACTTTAGCCTCCAAAATGCCAGGCTTTCTAAGACCTTAAGGTTTTTGCAAATGCTCTTTCCTCCTGATTTGCCTGCTCAGGTCTTAGCTGGGGCATCACTGCTTTCAGGAAGCATTCCTTGAGCCTTTCCTCTCCACGCCCACCACTCGTCACAGCACCTGTGTTCCCCCATCTCCCTCTGGTAGTGTGGCACTTTCCTGATTACTTGTCTGTTTTCTCACCAGACTGTCTTGGCAGGGACTGCGATGCCCATTTCGTGGTGGTGCTCCAGTGCCCAGCACGGTGTCTGGCATATAGTAGGTACTCATTAAACATGTTGCATGAATAAATGAATGGCTCAGTAGTATGGCAGGCACACAGGACAGTACCTGGGGGGCTTCGAAAGCCTTCCTCAAGGAGGTGCTGATGTGGCAGGCACACATGCCAAGCTGACACAGGTGTTCGTTACCACCACCTGAGACCTGTTGGTGGCTGGCCTGGCAATGCAGATGTGTGATCACCACACTTTCTGCTGCAGCACTGATGACAACTCGCCAGGAGCATTCAAAGAGGTGGAGGTTGGGCAGGGTCAGTGGTGCCAGGGCCAAAGTGCTGACGCAGGCAGGACGAAACTAACAAAACAGCAGCCTCCATGCCCCACTTCTTTGAGTCAGGAACAACCCTGGCTTTAATGTTGCTTAAGACACTAATGGTCCAGTTCTTCAAAAGCTCTTTGTATTGAGGGAGCTTTGAACCTTCCCTTTGCTCTCAAAGGGAACTTCCTGATTCCTGGAGGAATCCAAGAAAGTTGCATCCTGGTTTGAACTTTGACTCTGACTCAAAAGTTTGCATAGGATATCTCCGATCTCACGTTTATAGCTTCACCCACATTTTCTTGTAGCCTGATTTGTCACTGATTGTAGTTAATGTCTATTGAGCACCTGCTATGTGCCTTTCATGGTCCTTAGTATTAACTTAGAATGAGTTCATGTGTTTACTCATTTGATTCTCATAATAGGTAGGTGCCATTAGCATCCCCATTATATGGATGAGGATACCCAGGCTCAGAGAGATGAAGTAACACATGCCCAAAGTCATCTAGCTAGTGGCTGAGTCAGGATTCAAATTCAGTCAGTCTCTCTTTTGCATCTTTATGTTCTCTGCACCTGCGACGCCCTTCCTCTCATCTTTCATGTATCACCATCCTTCAAGGCTCAGCTCTAAAAGCCCTATACTCTACAGAGGTGCCTTCAACCTCCCATTAGAGGGAGTCCCTCCCACAACACCTTGCTTGTGCTGATTTTATAGCTGAATCCTGTCTGGTCAGCTGCTCATCCTTCAGATGGCAAAGTCTTAGAGATCACAGGTGGATCGATCTCCTCTGTGTCATTTTCAGCACTGCTCCCCTTCCCTCTTTACACGGAGAAGCATAAGCTAGGTGCTCAATCAGTGATTTTTAAATCAAATGTGTGGAGGAAAAGCCACCGCCCGTCTTGGTGAGGGCACTCACAATAAGCATGTGGCCCTCTGTGCCAGGCTAACTCAACCCTTGGCTGGGCTCTCGGGAGAGACACCCTTGGAACAGACAGACTTCTGTCTGTCAGAGCTGCAGGGCTCAGGACTCCACCGTGCCCTAGGAGTGCCCTGCTGGGAGCCGCAGCCTTGTCTACATCTGGTACTTTCTCCACTCTCACATTCCTTCCCCCAAGATCTACTGAATGCTCTGAGATGCTCATTTTGCTCTTCATGCAAGAACTCAAATCCACGCAGGGGAGGTTAATAAAAACTGCTGATTAGGAACTAGTGCCTGTCTTCCCCCATAACTCCCACCCTCAGCCGTTGCCACAGCCAGGGTTTAGGGAAGGTCTCGTGTGGAGCCTGGCTCCACAGCTGCTGGAGCAGAGGAACATTTTGTTTTTCCTTCCATGGAATCTTAGCTCCATGTCTTCTTTGGGGATTGCCTCTTCCAATGTAGTCTTTGGATTAAGAACAATTAATGAGAAATATGTCTTTTTGAGAAAGGTCACTGTTCTGCCTCCTGACATCCAAGGAAAAAACCTCTAGTCTTTCAACAGTAAATTTGGAGATTTCTAGGAATTCTCTATCTTCATCTTTTCTGTAGCTGGAAGTTGGCCAGACATTTCTGGGTATTATACTTCAAGCCAATATAGCTGGCTAGTGCCATAGAAAATGACACCACCATATCCTAATACTGCACCGGACAGTGTTATTATTTCATTTACGGAGCCTAATACTGCTCCCCTGCTCTCTCCTTTCTTCCCCACGTTAAACTGGGAATTCATTTTCCACATATAAGGATATCTGGGCTAATATCAAGAAATGACAACCTGTGACATGGAGCTCTGGTTATTCCACACAGCCTTGCAAGTACTACCTTGAACGTTACCAGCCCATATGCGCCAAGAGGAAGAGAGGACAATGAACATTGATATGATACACTGCTGCTCAGCCCAAGTATCACGGGCATTTCACCATACAATATAGCACTTCCAACTCAGCAGAAACCATACGCATGCAGAATGTCCACAACATGCAGGTTGGGAAGCTCATTCCTGGAAAATGGGATGGGGCGATGTTTCTTCCCATCTCCACTCACAGGAGCAGTGGAGGATGTGGGAAACAGCAGCCCTGCCCACTCTTCCTGATTCCCAGTGTAGCATGCGGAGTAAGGGTGGTACCTTTGGGGTGGGTGGGAAGCTCCGTTCGGGGACAGGAGAGTTGGCGGGCTTCCCGCTGTGGTTCTTTGCCTCCCAGTCCTCTGTTGAATTGCCTGTATCCCCAGCGCGGAAGGGGTGGTTGCCCAGTGCCTCTTCCAGTGCCGAGGGCAGTGGGCGGGTAGGAGTGAGGTCTTGAGTGGGAATAGATGGTGGGGGAGGGATGGGAATGGGGGGTGGAGTGCGTTGCACCCAGGGTGAGGACGAGGCACTCACACGGCCTGATGATGGAAGGACAGGGGGTGCGGGGGCTTTGGGAGGTGGGTTGGAGGGTGGAGGGTGGGGCATCACAGGCAAGGCAGAGGGAGTCTTAGGGGGATAGTAGAACATATCCAAAGGGATGTCATCCAGGTCAGTGGTGTGGAGGTGCAGCCCGCCTGCGAAGCGTCTCAGGGGCGGGGCCAGGGGAGACACAGAAGGTGGAGGAGGCGGGGGCACCGTGGTCATCTGGGGGAAGGGGGTTGTAAGGAAGTTCTGTAATCATCTGACTAGCGATCTACTTCACAATATATCTAGTATGATGCTCTTTAAACCTATTTCTCTTACTGCTGGAGACCCACCACCCTCAAACCAGAACAATGAGGGCGTCACTTCTCTGCCACCTGAGCTCGTACCAGACAGCCAGTGGAAAATGCCCAAGTGCAAGAGCGTTCCATATTATGCCATATGTGGGTGACAAATAAGGTGAAGATATAATTTGTCATCTAAATTGGAACACATTTGACAGTGAAAAGGGGATTCTTAGTGATTGCACCAGCGTAATTGGCCTAACTGAGACCACCTTGGACGAGCTGGGTCTTGGTGGTTACTCTGGAAATAAGCCCAGGAAGACAGATATGTTCCCCTTCCTCAAGAGAGGAAGGGGGCATGAGTTGGTAGGGGCAGCCATGAACAGTGGCCTTCCTGCCTCCCATTGTCACCAGGGCGGATCATTCTAAAGGCAGCAAGAGGGTCTATGTGGAAAAAAATGGCTGTTACCTCTGAAATCTCATTGTCAGCAGAGGAAATCTGCTCCAGGCGCGTCTGACAGAGCCTTTCCACCCAATACTGAATCTTTTCCGATTCCTCAAGGTCTTCCCGCTCTGTCTCGGACACCTGGGACCCAAGACCAGTGCAGAAAGGAGAGAACAAGGGCACACCTGAGTCACACATGGGTGGCACACCTGAATCAGTAGCACGAAAGCACGTCTTTAAAACCCCCAGAATACTATTGGGTGTGTCAACTGTCTAGAAAAAGATCTGAACTTGTTCAACCTGGGCCCAGAGGAGCTGACAGGCAGGAGAGGGTGTTGAGATATTGGGTTGACTAACACCACTTGTAGGCAAAACCAAAGAAGGAGCCCCTACACTGTGTGGGATTAGCTGGAATCCAGGATCCTCACAAACCCTAGGCTCTTACGATTCTCCAAGAATAGTTCTTTCGTAGGCTCCCAGCACATTCTAAGAGTTTAACTTTACACTTCTTTCCTGGCTTAGGGCTGCCTTGTCCTCAGAAGCACAAATTCTATTTCATTCATTTCGTAGCTAACTTGCTCCTAATGCCAGACCTAATGCACTTCACATTTTCCAGGACTTCTCTGGTTTCATAATCTAATCAGCTTTGCATTCTGATTCATGGAAGCATTAAAGAGAAGCAGAACCAATAATAGCTCCACCAGCTAGGGAGTTAATGTTACCCAGCTCACCGAGGAAGTAGGAATTACTCATGCTGGAAGACTGCTTTTGGCATGCCTTGAAGGAGACAGCCTTAGATACATTCCCATGTTGAAGAGGTCTAGCCTCAGACACACTCTATGCTGATGGGAGCAGCCTCCACCTCATAGCCTGATTAATTGGGGGATGGCCTCAGACACCCTGCCTGTACAATGGGGTTAGCTTCAGACCCACTCTCAGAGCCAAGGCAGGTTGGGGAGTCCTGGTCTTGGACTTATAACCTGGGCAAGGGGGCACAACCAACTCAGATCTAATGACAGGTGGGTGAAAGGCTAACTTCCTATCTACAATCTGGGTGGAAGGATTAGCCTCAGACTCACAGCCACGCCTAGGGTGGAGAGGCATCTGCCTTGAGCTCACACTCTGGTCGGGTGGTGGTGGTGGGGACAGGCTCAAACTTCTAGCCAGGCATGTGGAGGGCTAACCTAAGTCCTACAATCTGGGAAGAGAGGCTAGCCTCAGACCCATACCTGAGCAAGGAGGCCAGGCTCAATCCCAAACATACACCTAAACTGGAATCTAATCTGAGATGACCCTGGACAGGTGGGATGGTCTCACTCTCTAGACTGAGGAGGGGACAGGGCTCACTCTATCCTTGACTCCATGTGGAGAGAATAACTCTAGCTGGTTCCCTGGAAGAGTGGAAGGGAACAACCAAACCGTGTCTCAGGGGTGCTCGCCTGGCCTGAGCGCAGGACACCTACCTCCTGGGCCAGCCGGTTGATCTTCAGTTGCTTTTCCTTTTCCAGCATCTCCTCTTTCTCTTTGTAAAGCTTTTGCTCAAACTCTAGTTCCTTTTTATTCTTTCTCAACTCCTGAAGGCTGTCATACTTGGCTTTCTTCTTATCCTTTCCTTTCTGGGTCGACGTGGCATTGTTTACATGACGAGGATTACAAGGCGGTGTTGATACTAGCACAGCACCGCAAACAGGGCATTCGGTCCTCACACAACACCAGGCAGCCACCCCATGTTGAGCCTCTCCCCCAGCTCTGCTCATCTGCGCTGGGCACTGGACTTCAAGTGTGGGACAGGCAGGCCACTGCTACCCATTGCAGAGTGCAACACCCATTCCCTCTGCCAGCCAGAAGAACTATTCATTTACTAGCTGTGCAATCTTGGCTAAGTTTCTTAACCTTTCTGGGCCCAATTCATCTCCTCTCCAAAATGGAAGAAATACCTGGCCCACAGGCTTGCCATCCAGAACCAATGAAATAACATCTATAAAAGAGCTTTATAAATATTGAAGTACTGAATAAATAAAAAGGCATTGCATCTATTTCCTAGTATCTGGGTACATGCTTTCTCTATTATTTGGAGAGAAAGGTGTTTCATGTTCAAATACCACAGATGCATCCTGGAAGAGTCTACAGAAAATCCTCATTTGTAGACATCCTCTGTTCTGAGCTAGAGGAGGTAGGAACCAGCTTTGACCTGGGAACACAGAGCCAGTGACATCAGATTTTGTCCTGATGCTTAAGCTCCAGATTATTTCATCCTGGAGAGTCCACCATTCCCTCAGAACTGGGCCTCTGAAATGAGTATTAGCCAGAAACTATAAGACTAGGAATTGGGGTTGTGGGGAGAGAAGAGCCTAACTGCTTTTCCCTGGCTGTTAGGGTTCAAGAGGACTTGGGGAGGGGGGTGAAGGGCAAAAAGACTCCTTACTTTTCCTGTTGGAAGTGGACCCACAAAGCCTGCTTTCCTGGCTGCTTCTTCCAAGGGGTTGCAGGGAAACCAAGGAGTAAGGAAGAGGATTAACATGTATGGATTGCCTATGTGCCGAGGAAACTCCATCGATTACCTCACATGTAGGTATTATCCCAACTCTCTTGATGAAGGAGCCAAGGATCAGAAAGGTGAAGTCTCTCGCCCAATGTCAAACATCTAGTATGTAGCAGTGCCAGGATTTGGACCTGAGCCTTCCAGGTCCCACAAATTTTCTACCGTGTTCAAATGAGGAGCAATGGGAGCATGGCAGGAGAGAGCGTCAGCCCCATCATACGCAGCATGTAGGACAGAGATAGCACTCTGGAGAGGGAATAGTATTGAGTCAACATTCTGGAGAATTCCTGGGGGAAGAAGGAAACCCACCTGTTCACTGAGCTCACTTTCATCCCTGATAAGCCTACCTGGGTCCTGCTCTCAGAATCTCTGAATCAGCCCAGCATCCAAGGCCAGATGTGAAGAATTGAGTTTCCCAGCAATGGACTTTGTCCACAGCTGAAGAGGTCATTATGACTGAGTCATCTTGCCTTCCCTCCTAAAGACAACCCCTACCTCCTTGCATGGGTTATGTGCTTTGGAGATGCCTCCCCCACCCCCACCCGCCGCCTCATTTTAGGGATGGCAGACCCACCCCAGAGCAGTCTGTGAGCCACTTGGGAAAATGGTTATAATTGCTTCAGAGTCCTGCTTGGTTCCTGCCTACCCTGTTCACTACTAGACACTTGGCTCAGTTGAGAGATGAATCCCTGCCATCATGTTCTAGATTCAGATGGCAATTCTTCAAAAGGAGCTAGAAACATTCTGCCTGATGGCAGCTTGCTAGAATAAGGCCACAGCCTCTTACAGGGACCACCATGATAGGAATGACTGTTCTGTTGGTTTTTAAAAAACCACCAGTGCTAAGATTTTAGAGCCAGGGCTCCTGGGTGGGCCAGGCAGATGAGACAGCTTCTGTCCCATCTCCAAGAAAGCAGCACCTGCTTACTGATACAGAGGGCGAGTTGTCCCCTAGCATTGTCTACTGAACTCATACCAGCCCACTCCATATGGGTGCTTAGTTGCACGTGAATCTGCCTCCCTGCCAGATGGTGGATTCCTGAAAGTAGGGCATGTTTGTATGATTTACTCAAGCAGTCCTGGTGCGAGGGCTTAGTCAGAAGCATGAATCCTTCAGGCCCTGGCATGGACTTTGCGGGGGCACAGGCCTGGGGGCCTGAGCGCCAGAAGGAATTACTGCCAGGTTAGGAATTGAAGACATTGAGTCTTTAGCTTTTCAAATAAGGGGAGTGTGTTTGCACGGATGGTCATGGTCTTAGACAGCCACTTGCATTACCTGGGCACCAGGTGTTTCAGCTGCTGGAGACACAGCATCTCATGTGGCTCTACAGAAAATGATGATGGATTTTCAAAGCCCGATGAGAGGCATGATTCTGTTGTCTGATTAGCTGCCAGCTAAACTCATGGCAAATATTCCTTCTGGTCTAGACTGAGAGGAGAGGTAGATGGGGTGGATGTGTTCTTGCTGCTATCTAGAAGCAATTTTTCTCTTTTGGAAATGAAATGAAAGCTGAAATATCAGTTATTTCCAGAATGACTGGAATAATGAACAGGGAAAAACAGGCCTACTTCTTTAGCAACGGCACTTTTTCAAGTGACATGATCTCTTATGGAGAGTGTGCGTAGAGGAGACACATACACAGTTCTCTTACATTTACCTAGTTATTAGTGCCTGGAAAGGAATTTACCTATCCACTTTCTTTCATTGGTTTTTCAAGTACAACCCTGTGTGTATGTGTGTGCTGTCCTCTCTAGCTGAGTTCTAGTAGAGACAGTTTATAGGGGAGAATTAGAAATTTAACCCAATAAGGCATCCTAAGCCATAGAGTCAGCCTGGGAAATAAAAAGGACAGTTTCGCGAGACTAATTCCTTTCTGAGACCATGCTGGTGTGGTAAGGAATCCCCTGAACGGCACTGTCCTGGTTTATTCGATGTCATACAAATCATGATCTGTGCTCCCAGGTAAAGATGTTCACCTCTGTCAGGAACAATACTGCTATCTGTTATCTTAACATCTTTGTGTTGGAGGAAGGGGGTAGATGTTTCCGGCACATCAGGTATTCCCAGTTTAGAGGCAGGAGACGTTACATATCATCAAGTTCACCCCGCTGCAAGTGCTTTGGTTTCTGGAAGACTGACATCTTGCCAGAAAGAGCTGGTGGAATGATATGTCTAAATTAGTTCACCCAGATTTATGCCGATGCCTGATTCCAAATACCAAGTCATCTTGAATGTCCAATCTATAGATATTAACAGCAGCATTTTCATAATCAAATGCCAAAGTGATTTAACAAGAAAAAGGATGAGAAAGGTTTATGGGGCCTGGAGATACCATAATAAGATTTAGAGAGAAAATCCAAGGCCCCAGAGACCAGATAATTGCATTATCCCGGGGACATGCAGAGATATTTCTAGAACAGAACTGTTATTGCTGTGGCTCTCTGTCCCAACCCGAGGGAGCAAACCCCTGCCTTGGCAGCCAGTCTGTGTCTGGCATAGTCAGTTTCGTAATCTGTGCTGTGAATATCCAACCTGATATTTCATCCCGTCTGACCTCAGCTTCTGGTCTTGGCCTTTGGCTCTACTTGACTGAGAAACGAAGCAGAAGCTTCCTGTCACACCCTTGCCTTTGTGCCCTGTGCCCACCAGGGCTGGTGCTGACCTAGGCAGTGCCTAATGGTGCTTGGGTAGTTCTCACCTCATGAACAATCCCCCGCCCCCCACCGTGACGCCTCTGTGACAGCACCCTGCCATTTGACGTCAGTCTGACGGAGAGGCTCTGACACAGTTAGCATTCAAGTGAATAGGTTGGGTCACACTGTTGAGAGTTGATAGGACAAGAAATAATGTTTGGAAAAGGCCAAACCCACAGCAAACACAGAGGCAAAGGGGACAGATGCAATCCTGTCATACCTTCCGTATGGTTGGGAATTTGCCATCATAACGATAAAACCACCCAAAGGCTGTAACAACACAAAGAATGAAGCAGTGAGACAGTTTAGCTCAGCCAGATTGTCCAGGGCAGAGGCCAGGAGCTGGGTTCTCAAGGAACACGTGGCTTTGTGAGGCAAAGGGCAGAATCGGCGGATCCGACAGCAAAACTGCTCCCTCAGTCTGACTCTCCACTTACCTGGCCTCACCTGGATTATAAAACAGGCCTAAGACTACCCGAGGAAGGCCCCGATTGCCAGGCCCTGGGCAACTGCCTCTCCCTAGGACACTGGCTTCAGAAGTCAGTGCCAGAAAACCAGAGAGAAATCCCCTTGTGAAGGATGAGTCTGCAAACACAAAGCCCTGTTAAAAAAGAGCAAGGCCCCTCCTGACCAACGTCTGGTCCCTCCATCCAAGAAATGGCTCAAGACAAAAGTGCGCCTGGGTCTTTGCCTAGAACTGCTGTCAGAACAAAACAGTTTTGTCTCATAGCGCAGGCCATATCTTCCACTTTCAATGTTGAAAGAGAAGGCAATGACAGTGGTCAGCTCTGGGAAGGGCAGCTCAGGCAGCAGCGGGCGGAAGATGAGCCTCCAGAAAAGCATATCCCCATCCAGGCTGGATAACTAGGGCACCAGACCCCTGTCTTTCCTAGGCAATAGCGTGATGCTTTCTGGGCCAGCGGTGATGGTTTAAATAGTTACCCACCCTTGACCAGCCTGGGTTCTAGAACAAGATCTTGAAAGCCTCCTGCTGGACCAAGCACTATCCCCTAGTTGTTGGATCTTGGCAAGACCTGGGGAGTCCTGGAAGAAGCCAGCGCAGCAGACGAAGGACTTAGCCTTGGGCAGTACTTAAATATTTGAACCAGTGGTTCAGCCGTACCGATGTGCACTAGTTGACATTTCAGCCCGGCCATGAGTCCTATTCTCAAGATTCTGTGTGCAGTGCTTGGACCAAGCCGGGGCTTGGAGAGATTCCAGTGGTTCCCACCATGGTGGCTGGCCCCTCAGAGATGGGTGTCTACAGGGTTGGCAGAAGAGAGTGAGCAGGGCAAGCAGAGCAGCAAGGCCAGGGAGTGAAGCGGGGGCCGCAAACCTGCTCTCCCTGTTCCTCTGTGCCTCTGTCCAGGTCGTCAGCAGGCTCAAGCTCGGGCTCCACTCCCTGATCATCTACTTGGGAAAAGAGGAAGGTGGTGAACAAGAGAGAGTGAGGCGACCAAGAGGCTAGAGCTGCTTCCCAGGAGCCTGGGGACCTATACCCAGCTTCCTCTATGAGCTGTGAGGTCAGGGGCAGGAACAGGGCTCAGGAGCCCAGAGCAAAGCTTTCCTGCTCTGGGACGATGCATGCTGAGCTTTCAACCTTGGTACCTTCAGTTCCTCTATCTGTAAAATGGGCTGACAACAGGGCCTCTGATCTGACAGCAGAGTGAGAGCCTTTTGCAGGGCATTTGGCTGAAACTTGGGAGGTATGGCACAGAGGATGGGAATATCTGAGTATTACATATGTTTGGTGCCAAAGGCCCACTCCTCACAAGCACGGAGACCTGAGTCAGGTATAACCTGTCAGCTAACTGGGCCCCAGAGTTGAAGCCTGGTCAGAGAGGACCTGACTTCGGCTTGATACTAATGAGCCCACATGGCTGAGACCATTCCAGCCTCCCAGGAAAAGGGAGAAATGCAGGAATTGAGTTGGCTCAGAAGTCTTCCAGCATTTCCTAACTTATCACCGAGTTAGAATTAAATTGCTAGTGCGTGCGGAGATGGATGGAGGCAGCAGCTGCCCCAGCTCAGGCTGGCGGACTCCGGTCATCAATCTCATGCTTCGCAGCATTCCCTTAGAAAACATTTATATCTTGAACAAAGGGAAAGTTCTTGCTTCTTTTATTCAAGAAGTTTAATATGGTTTAAAAGCACTAAATAAATAGCTAGCTAGAGAAAGGGTTTTTTGTTTTCTATAGCTTCTGTGAGGATGTGTTGGCTCTGAAACCAAGATCCAGTTTTGAGGAATTGACTAGAATTGACTAGAATTACTAAATTGACTAGAATTACTTTCATGAAAAGCAATTAAAATTGATTTCTCTCCTTCTGAAGCTCCTATTTCACACATAAGAGCAAATTAGCTCCCTCTCTAAAACACAGATTATTCACCAGGAATTTAGCTCTGGCCACATCCTCAACTAATACCGAATGTCACGGGGGAGGCTGATGACAGCATGCTTTGTCCTTCCGAGAGGACCCTGAGATGACACTATACCCTGTGGCCAGGAAGGAGCGTGCTGGGAGCCATCTGCCTTGCACCGAGTGGGGATGAGATGGAACCACTCTGAACCTCATCGTTGACCCAAGCTGATGACCCTCTAGGCCTTGGGCAGGATTCAAGGTTGGGGCCAGAGCTGTCCAGACCCAATCACAGGATCCCAGATGGCTGCCATGTGGCAGAAATAAAGAACCTTGGTTCCGGGGTGCAGATTTACCCCGTATCTGGACGTTTCCAGGTCAGCTGAGCACAATTAGTGCTCTGTAGAACCTGCCTCATGTCAGGTACAAATGAAAACAGCTGTAAAGCGAGAATAAAGACCCAACCAGGCATCCTGGACTTGTGATTGCCATGGGCCCTAAGCTGTCTTACTACTGGCTCCCCACCCACACGCCCACTGAAGAACCACTGAGCTTGAGCGCCCCCACCCCCACTTTAACCTGGTGTTGTGAGCTGCTCCTTGAAGAGGCATCTTGGGAGTTAGAGTTGAGAGCAGGTGGATAAGAGAGCAGTTGGTTAGGGTCTGGACTGAAATGGGAGGTGACAACGCAGGACAGATGAAGAAAGGACATGGGAAGGGCAGAAGGAGCTGAAGCCACAGGATGGCTGCGTGTGATGTCTGGGAGGGGTCTCACAGTCCTCTCCCTGAGTGGTGGAACCAAGCAGGGTCCACATACAGGGATGTAGGTGGTAGGGGCACTTCAGGTAAGTTGTTCTCACCGTCACTCATCGACCTTGGACCACCTCTCTAATGTGAGCCCCTTCCCCTCTTTCCTGCTGTTGTTTTACCCCAGCCCCAATTCAGAACCAGGTAGGAAGAGGACATGACAATCGACAAACTAAGATAATCCCATGCGCGGTTCCACTTTTGCTATAGCTCTCCAATCCCTCTTCAGCAGCCCAAGGACACCTGCCTGAGTTTGTGTTGTGGGGGAGACCCAGGACTAGGAGAGCAAACAGATCCTGCCCACCCTAATGCCATGATGTCATGGCAGACAGCCCCTAGCACATGGCTGCCCTTCCATGAAGGAAATGCAGCTTAGAGAGCCATGGGATCATCACCTGGGGAGGTGATGGTCAGTACAGGGAGACCAGCAGCTCTGTCTGGACTGCTCAGCCCCCCAGCCCCAGAAGGAAGCCCTCTCCTCCCAGCATATGATACATACACTTTGGCTTGTGAAGGGGCACTGGGTGCACCTCAGCAGTGATGGTCTTAGGCGATAGCAGCTGTTCCTTTGAGCCCCAGTCTTCTTCCCACTGCTTCTTAAACCTCTCTTCCTCCTCCACGATCCTGAAATAAGACACCCCCCACCTTGCCTGTGACTGGAATCAGAACCTTCGCAGGCCCACCTACTGCCTGTAGGGAACCCCCAAGCAGACTGGGGAGGGGCCACATGGTTCTAGTTGTGATGAAGACCACAAAGTCCTTGGCACTTACATTCCAAATTAAGTATGAATGCAATTATGTGAGACTATGTTCTAGTTACCCCCATATGGTGAGCTTTACCAGGATTACGGAATGGCTAAAACAAAGGAGGTTCCACTAGGGGACAAGAGGCCAGGTAAATTGGGCCTGGAGGTGGCCTCTGGCTCGCTATACTCCCAAGAGCACACTCATGTCCACACACAGATACGTGTGTGCAGACACATGGAGACGAGGCACTCACTGTTCCATCTCCTTCCGGTATCTCTCATTTTCCTCTGCTGCCTTGTGGGCGATTTCCTTTTTCCTTCTGAAACCAAATGCGGATTGTTATGTTGGAGTCTATGCAAGAGAAGTTAACTCTTCCTTGTGGCTATGTGGCTAATTTTTTGAGAAAAGTTTTAAATACTTCTTTCAGGAAACTTTCCAAGGATGTCTGGACTAGATTTGGATGCTGAGAAAGCAGATCTAGCAAAGTCTGGGCCTTGTGCTCTTGTGTGGTTTTGTCTGGCATCACTGAGCAGAGATTCTGTGCTGTTGGAGCTGGGAGGCCAGTCAATGTGGGCCACGCTCCATGAATCTACCTCCAAACACTTAAAGTGAGTGATGACAGGCAGAGTCTGGCCTTAGTGAAGTCTTCCCAGAAGAGGATCCCGGACCCCAGGGGCAAAGCTGGGGCTGCTAACCAAAGCCAGGACTGTGGGCAGAGGTACCAGCAAGGCTAGTTCTAGGCTAATTCTGTGATGGGAGGGATGGGAAGATCCTGTCCACCATCCTTTTCCAAATTCTAATGAAGGTCTTAGAGTGTATCTGGATTTGAATTTTGGCAGTAGTTTATTGATTTATGAATTGCTCACCACATTTATTCTCAGTCCATCATCTCAACTACCCCACACGAGGGCAGGGGGCTTGTCACCATAGATGGGGCAGCCAGACTGCCTGAGAGTGAATGCCAGCTTGGCCATGTGTGACTTTGTACACAAGTGACTTACCCTCTCTGAGTCTCAGTCTCCTTACTTGTAAAATAGGTTAATAACATCTATCTCACAGGGCTATTGTGAGGATGAAATTAAGTAACGTACACGAGGCCCTAATACAATGCCAGCCACACGGTTGGTACTCAACAAACGTTAGCTACTGCTAGTAGCATCCCCACATTCCTGGGTCTTGGAAATCAGGAGCTTTCTTTGGCAAGAAGGGAGGAACCCAGTGGTCTGGAGGCAGGGGATGCATTTGCTGACCACCACTGGTCTCATCTGGTCTGAGGACAGGCCTCAGGGGGAGAGGATGAAGTTGTCTCAGGACACAGTGGGCAGGAAGCAAAGCGGGCAGAGTCCTACAGTGGTCTGGGAGGGTAGGGAAGGGGTGTCCTGGCTGGCCACACTCACTGCCTCTCCATCTCCTGCTGCTCCTGGAGGATCTTGTTGGATTCCATCGCCAGCCGCTTCTGCATCAGAAGTTCCTGCCGCTGCAGCTCGTGCTGCCGCACCTCTGCCAGCCGCTCCCGCTCTGTCATGAACAGCTCCCGGCCCTCGTGGGGAGAAAGGAGCCCCTTGCTCAGTCCCCTGGGGAACCTGGGCTTCCACTGCCACAGTGTGGGGGGCCAAGATGAGAGTCGTCCTCTCACTGCCGTGGCCCCAGTGTCAGGTACTGTGGCTCCTGTGGTCTCTGACCGAACTTCTCCAAGCTGGGCAGAGAGCCTCACCCTTTGCTCTGGCAGAGCTTCAGACAAGACCCCTTGGCCCTTCCTAGCACTGTGTGGCAGAGATCACCCTGAGTGACTGAGCCTGGAGGTCAGGGGTCATGGGGCCTCCAGCAGTTCATTCTGGACTTACGGCTCCAGCTACGATGGAGATGGTCAGGCTGCGGCTACTCTTCAGCACGTTCACAGCCTGTGGGGACAGGTGGACAGTCAGCTGAGGCCTGACAGACCAGAGCAGTCGAGGCCTCTAGAGAGCACAGAAAGTTTCAGACACCGTGTTGGGGAGAGGCGGGAAGTAGAGGGCAGAGGTGATAACTGCCAGCAGGCGAAGACCACACATCTCACCTCCTTATGGTCCAGGTTGGAGAAGTCGATGCCATTGACTTCGACAATCTGGTCCCCTGTCTGGTGGAGAGATAGAGAAGGATCAGCATGTTTACCTGTCTGTACACTCACCTGCAGCGAAGGTTCCCCTTGGGAGCCAGGGGCAGACATTGAGTATTCGAGTGGCTGCATCTCAGCTCTCCCTTATTAGAAATGCAGTTAGAAAGCTCTGTTGGGATCTTCCAAGGGTCCCTCCACCTCATATCTCTTTCAAATATTAGCTGCCAAATATTATACCATTCAAGGTTCATTCTTTTGGCTGAATTTATGACATTTGCTTTGAAAACTCAGTTTGTAGACATAGGAGCTCTTGGGCTTCTCATATAGGCAGACGCTGTGTTGAGTCAAAATAATAATTAGTAGATAACATTCATCAATCCCTTGCTGTGTGCCAGGCACAGTTCTAAGCATATATATTAATTCATTTAATCCACACAGTGAGCCTAGAAGGAAGGTTATTGCTCTCATTTTATAGGAGAGGAAACCGAAGCAAAGAAAAAAGCAACTTGTCTAAACTAGAGGTTAAAAGTTCTGTCTCTGCCATCAGACCACCTAGGTTTGAATCCCAGCCCTACCATACTAGGTACGTGATCTTAGAAAAATCACATACTGTCTCTGGGTCTGTTTCCTCATCTGTAAAATGGGGATAATGATAGTACCCAATTCTCAGAGTTCTCATAAATTTCAAAAGGCTTAGAACAGGAGTCCCCGACTCTGAGGCTGAAGACAGGTACCAGTCCGTGGCCTGTTAGGAACCGGGATGCACAGCAGGAGATGAGCGGCAGGCAGGCAAGCAAAGCTTCATCTATATTTGCAGCCACTCCCCAGCATTAGCATCACCGCCTCAGCTCCACCTCGGATCGTCAGGCATTAGATTCTCATAGGAGCGCTGGTCCCTGGTGCCAAAAAGGTTGGGGACCGCTGGCTTAGAAGAATGTCTAATCCAGTAAACACTCAATGAATATTAACTCTTTGATTATTATTACTTCATTCCCAAGCTTAGGATCAAAGGCTCTCAGAACTGGAGAAGACTGTAGAAAGGGTCAAATGCCACTCCTTCACTGATGCCGTCCTTCTCTTGGAGAGAGGTAGGAAGAAATCATCAGCCAGTGACTGCTGAAAAAGGGCTGTGTGGGAAGGCACGTGCCTCCATCACTGTGTGATCACGGTCTGACCGCAGCCCAGGGTCACTCACCTCCAACCCCACCTCGGCAGACAGGGATCCAGGCTTCACATTACTGATGAAGATGCCAGGTTTCTGGATGGGGCCACTGGAAATGCTGTGGAAGAGGCGGGGAAAGCAGGTGAGCCTCTGCCTTCAGTACTTGCTCATTCTCAGTGTTCTGTCCTATCTGCCTGTTTGTCCAGTGCTCCAGCCCCTCAGGATCCAGGTCACCCATGAGCTCAGTACCAAGACCCTCTGCTGTCTACCTGTGGCAGTAGCCACAGAAAACTACTTGTAATTGCCCCCTACCCAATCCCTTACCCAACATATCACATATACTGTTTCTTCTCTCTTTCTAGCACTTTCCTATCCATTCCTTAAGACTCGAATGCTTTCTTTATGGAGTTTTAATCAAACTTCTTATATTATTCCAGGAATAGCTAGTTGCTTCTTTCTCTTAAAACACCTATAATGCTCCTAAAGAGTGCTCCCAAAATACCTACAGCAAGGGAGGCACTTGTACTATTACTCACCCCTCTCCCAGATGTGCGACAGACATCACTAATCGATCACAGCACTCTTCCTACCAAGTCTAGATACAGCCAGCCTTACAGTCTTTTCAAAATCGTACTCCAGGCAGCCACTACTGATTGGTTAGAGACAGCAGGGATTTTCTATCCCTGATGCAGAATGCAGCTCCATTAGTGTCCTTGTCACTCTACACTGTAACTAATTATGTGGCTGTCTTCAATACCAGGCTGTAACATTTTAGAAAGGAGGGACTTATGCTTGGCAGAAAAAGTATTGAATAAACATGAACGAATGGAAACAATAAGAATAACTTAAATAATAATAGATAATATTTACTAACTGCTTATCACTTGCTGGGACCTAAGCTTGGTACTTTACTTCTATCATCTCATTCCTCCTCACAATGTGGATATTATTATCCCCAATTTATAGAGGGAGAAACTGAGGCTCCAGGTGGTTATATAACTAGTCCAAGGTTCTAGAGCTCATATGTGGCAGAACAGGGTCTGACCCTTACATCTGTGATTGTAGTGATTTCATGTTTACCAAGAATGCTCCGTGTGATCTGATGCCTGTTTGCATTTCTTTGTCTGCCTCTTAAGGAAGCCCACAAGGTAATAAGTGGCAAGTGACAGAGATGACCAGCAGGACAGGCTCTCTTTACAGTAACTAGAGGGCCCACTAAGGGAACATAGCTCTTTCTTTGGGCCTCAATTTCCTTATCTATAAAATCGACCTGTTAGGGCCGTTATTAAGCTCAGAGAGGAAATCAGGCACCCGAGGATAAGTCTCCTCAGAAGCAGCAGTGAGTGAGGAGAGAGGCATTAGGTGCCTAGGGGGGCTGCTGGCCATGACTGAGCCTCAGGGCAAGCCTGCCACCCACCTGCAGCCAAGGCCCCTGGAGCCCACCAGGCTGATGAAGACCTTCTTCTCCTTGTTTTCCTGACTCCCTGGGGAACCCAGGTTGCTCCGCCCACCCTGGAGGAAGGACAGAAAAGGGTCATTAGATGTCACATGTGTACATGTAGCCTCTTGAGCTCATAAGCACTGCTATGCCCACGTGAGCCTCATGGCCATTCTGTCCCAGGGGGTGTGCGTCTGCACCAGCTGGCCCCCAACAGGGATTTTCTAGATGTGCTAGGGACCTGTGTGAAGCCCCTGAGGCCACATCCCTAGAGCAAGCCCCCCTTCAGACCTGCTGCCCCTCCTTGAAGACCACTCCATCCGGACCCCATCACTGGTGGTCCTGACCCTTACCTCAGATTCTGACACAAACTGATCCACGTACTGCCATTTGAGGGGCTCATCAGGAGAACTGATGGGAAGGGAAAGGAGAAGGGTCATTGGAGAGAGATGTTTGGGGACCAGGTCCCAAATCCAGACCTGCCCCATCTGGAGCCTCCGGGCACCAGGCCCAGGGCAGTGCTGGACTGGGGGAAACCAGACCCTAGGGTTGATACCAGGACCTTAAGCCCACAGGGAAGAGTCCACCAGTAGAGGAGGGAGCTGCTCACCTCTTCACAGGGATCAGGCCGATATCTGCGGGATAAAGGCATGGAGGTTAGGATAGCACCTCTGGCCTCCCTTCCTCCTCTAGGAGCTGGGTTCCCTGCTGCCCACCCCACTCTATCCTATACCACACCCCACCATCAGCATCCCATCCTCTAGCCTCACTCACGTCTCACTTTGATGGACACGGTCTTCTTGGTGCGAATAAGGTTGATGACCTCCTCATGGGTACAAGAGGATATGGAATACCCATTGATCCGGACAATCTCGTCCCCTACCTTGCCATAAACAAAAGGAATAAGCACCAGGTTGAGGGAGTGTCAAGCGGCTGGGCAGGCTCGCTGTCAGATGCCCCGGGCCTGCTCTCCAGGAAGGGGGATGATGGCCAGGCCTTCCCTCAAGAAACCTCGATGTGTGCCCTAGTGCCTTGTCACAACCAACCCACCCTCCATCAGTCTGAGGGACCCTAGGGCGGTGGCACTTTCAAGAAGTCTTTATGCTCTATTTTGCAGCTAGGAGACACATGGTAAGTGAAGGGCACAGAGACTGGGGAGCAGAGGTGCCTCACTCCTGTGTCCCTTTCACCCCACTGGGGCCCTGTCAGGCTCTGGAATCCAAGTAAAGGGTGACCCTTCACCCAGATTCAAGCAGTTCTTCCCCGGCCTTTGTCCCACCCTGGCCCAAGGAGCAGGCTCCCCTGCAACACCATAACAAGTCTGGGTGGGGAACTTCCATGACTCTTGACTTGAGCTCACATCACTCACACACACACACTCTCTTTTCTTCCATTCTATGGAAATTTGATGGACATTTTAATTTGCCACAGCCCTGATCTCTGAATTTTCATTCTGGATGTAAGCAAAGAACAGTGAATGAACACAGGTTTTGGCATCAGTTATCCTGGATTTAAACCCCTGCTTTTATTCTTATTAGCTGTGTGACCTTGAAAAAGTCTCTTAAACTTTTGGAACCTCAGTTTCCCTCATCTATAAAATGGAGAATGCTGCAGTTGCTGTGCAAATTAAATGATTGTATACATGTAAAGCCGGCCAGTGTCTGGCACCCTGTGAACAATCAACACACGGTTGCTATTGTTTTCATGAGTTGGTCCTGAGCTCTAAATACTCTGATCAGATCCCTCTTCTCAGGACTGAGGTCTCATTAGGCCGGGAGCAATGGGGGCTCAGAGGGTTGCTGGGCCAGCCCTGGATACAGATACGTGGTGAGACTGCCCCCTGCTGGACACTGCCAGGGGCTTCTCCAAGCACCTCCGCCCTGGGATCAAGGCCCAAAGTTCTTCATTTAATAACTACAGGGCTGGAAAGACCCTCAAACATCAGCTGAAACAGGCCCAGGGGGGTGATATTTTGTCCTCGGTCACACAGCCATTAGCTATAAAACAGGGATTGGGTCTGGGATGTCTTTCTCCAGCCTGAAGCCAGAGCAGGTCAGCTGGGTGCTTAGCTCACATTACATGTGCTGACCTTTTGGAGACTTGTTGGTGCATGTTGAGGGGTGCAGCTTGACTGTCCATGGGATCTGAGAGCTGGGCAGGCACATGGCCTCTGAGGGGTCCTCTAGGCCTGGACACAGGGCCTGGACACAGGCCCTAATCTCAGAGGCCTGACAAAAGTGTCAGGGGGCTCAAAAAGGCACCACAAGAAGGGGCTCACTGAAGAACTCTCTAGGTTTCTGGGGCCATCTCCTGTGAGGAGAACAGCTGGATAAGCTCCTTGCACCTGCTTTTTACACCGACTCTGTGTTTTTGTTAATCAGATAAGGAAACTGAGGCTTGGAAAGGTGAAGTCACTTGCTTAAGGTCACCCAGCCAGTAAAGTGCTGCTAGGATTTTGAGTCAAGTCTCGCTGACAGACAACAGTGTTGTCTCTTGGGCACCTGGAAGCAGAAAAGGAGGATGTCTGGCTACGCCTGGCTGTAGTTCCCTGCGCTCTGTGGATCCTTGCCACCCATCAGAGCCCTCGAGTTTCATAGGAAAGGCAGAGATTACTCTGTCCATTTTACAGCTGGAATGACCGAGGCACACAAAATCTTTCTCTAGCCCTGGACTACACAGCAAGTTGTGCAGCACAGACTGCCCCATGCAGGGCAGAGGACATAGGTTCAGACACGATACACTTGGGAAAAAAATCTAAAATTTAGTAGGGGGATAAGAGCAGAAATACGGGGTCCCAGAGCTGGGTCCTATTTATTGGTAGGTCCGAGCCCCTGACCCGGGGCCTAGCCTCATTGGTCAAATAAACGGGGCCTTTAGTCCCGCCAGGCTACGTCTGAACGTGTCCCTCTCCTGCCTTCCAGAATCTTCTTCTAGCCTCCCTCAGGCATGAGATCTCCCCAGAAACATGAACCCAGACAGGTGAATGGATGCAGATAGTTTCTCCCAGCTCCTCTGAGTGAAGTTCCCTGTCTTGTTCCTAAAAAGAACCTGCTGGGGACCCTGGTCGGAATGTTTCCCACGCAGCCTCCCCCAGCTCAGTTTGCAGGATCAGCTTTCCTCTCCCTCTCACGCTGTGCAGAGCCCTGCAAAAGGCCCTTTGTGCCAGGGCCACAGTGAAATGACGATCTGAGGGACAGCGGCACAAAGGAGAGATGAGCCTGACAGCTCGAGAAAGGGCCGATAATTCATAAGCCTGAGAAACAGGCTGGAAGAAAAAACTTAGTTTAATTAAAATGTCCTGCTGTTCCCAATCGTGGCGGCATCATCGAGAAATGCATGTCCTAGGAGGAGAGCTCACTCTGGAAAAAAGAGGGTCTCCACTGACGCCAGGAGAGGAGCTCATTATGTTTTTTGTCTGGCTGTGTTTCTAGGCTGGAAAATGTGCCGCACAGGAGAGGAATAATGAAGCGGCTGAAATTTCAGACGCCACCAGTGAGCCGTGAGACAGGGATTTAGAACAAAGCGATGTCTGTCAGCTCCCAGTTTCCGTCTCCCTCTCCACAGTCTCGTACCCTTCACCTTCGGGCCCCCTGAAGCCCGCGGCTTGGCAGCCCGGATCGGGATGTTGATAACAAACATGCTGGAGGCTCTGGGAGGGGGTGGGAGGGCCTCCTTTATCTGGACATACGAAAACACAGCTCTGCGCTCTGGCAGGAGGGAGACCTGGAGGTCTGCCCATCTCTGCTCTGACACTGAGGTGTGGGGACCCCAGGGGAGGGGCACCTGGGGTGCTGAAGAGAGTCCCCAGGGCTTGGCAGTCAAGAGACCTGGGTTCAGGTCTTGGCTCTGTCACTTACTGGCTGTGACACAAGTCAAGATCTGAGCCTCTATCAACTCTGTAAAATGGGGATGATACGGCCAAGGTATATAACGAGAACTGGCTGTGCGCACGTTACCTGGCACGTTTCAGGTGTTTATTCAGTCTCCCTCTCTGCTTATTTAACCAACACAGAGCACTTACGTGCCTGGAACTATTACAAGGACTTTATAATATGAATTCATTTATTCCTCCTAACAATCTGACGGGGTAGATAGTGTGATCATCATCATCCCCATTTTATAGATGAGGGACAGGGTTAAGTGTTTTTGTCAAAATCACACAGCTACTGAAGAGCAAAGCCAGGACAGCCCGGCCCCAGAGTCTGCCCTGAAGCACCACACCACACCGGGATTCCCTTTCCCTTTCCAGTGAAGGCTACATGTCCAAAGCTTCAGACGTCAGGACATAACTAGGAAGTATGGGAGGTGGGGTGCAGCTCAGCAGCAGTAGCTGGAAGCCAGCTTCCCGGCTCGACTTAAGAAAATAGGCAATTGCCTGCAGGCTGATTTCGTGGGCTTGAGGAAAACCTGTCAGGATGTGTCAGCCTTTTCCTCTCCCAAAGTCTCCGAAAGGTGAGCTGACCACATTATGCCACGTAGCCCAGCAGTGAGAGACGGGGGAGGCCGGAAGCCTGAGTATTCTGCTCACTTACCTGGAGCCCCACGCTGTCTGCCTGCCCGCCTTTGATGAGGTGGGAGATGAAGAGCCCACAGCCAAACTCAAGGCCGCCACGCACGCTGAGGCCAAGGCCTTCAGGGTGCAGACGGTCCAGACGCACCTCCTTCAGCTTCCTGCCGTAGGAGAGGTCGGTGATGGCCCAGCTCCGGCCTGACCACCAGTGCTGCCCCATCCAATAGCGAGCGATCCTGTCCATCCCAGGGGGCCCCCTGTCCTCCCGCTTCGAGCCTGACAGCTCCCTCCGCACCTGGAGCGGCGGGGGGTCAGTTGGTCGTACTCCACCTGGTGCTTCAGCGGGATAAGGGGCCTGATGGCATCAAACAGTGGCAAGCGACTGGGCTCATTGATGACCAGCTTCAGGTCTCCCACAAGGACAGCCACATCCATGGTCCTGCGGAGACACGGGGGACACTGAAGCCTCACCCATGGCCATGACCTCTGAGACCCAAGGATTCCCAAAGGAAGCAGTCCTGGGCTACGTTCCCTCTCCACTGGGCCCAGGCCTTGGAATTGAGGAAGACTGTCCTGAAAAGCCCAGAGGCCCTAGCTCTGGGCCAGGTGCCTCAACGAGCTTCGTTCTCTCCCATAAACATCACGAGGAAACTGGCGAAGTAGGGATTGTTAACCCATTCTGCAAATGAAATCAAGTCAGGATTCAAACTCACTCTGCCTTGTTCTGAAGCCCAGGATCTTCCCAGACAGGAACCCTCATGTGAGACAGTGGCGACCCCTATCATCCCCTGGTCTCCCACTTCTGATCTGCAGCTAAACTGTAACTTCTACCTTTACAATGTCCCTCACGTGCCTCCTCCTCGCACTGTTCAGGCCCTCACACCTCTGGCCTGCACCTCTCCAGCTGCCTACTGACTTGCTCACTCCCATCTAATCTTTCCTAAATGAAAATCGCTCCTCTTCTCAAAACCCACAATGGCTGCCTCTGCCCAGACGACACAATCCACTCTCCCTGGCAGGCTCAGGGCCTCCGTGACCTGTTGCCACAGTCTACTCCAGGCTCGTGGCTGTTCATGGTCTCCGTGAGCCCTGAGCTTGTCACTTCCTACTCGTTTGTGCTTTCACGTCTCTGCACCTCGGGTAATGCTGGTCCTTCATGCTGGAATGCCCGTTCCTGGTATTGCCGCCTATCAGAATCTTTCTTACCCTTCAACCCCCAGGTCAAGGCTTCTTGGTCCTTGCCCCCGTGATTAGAAGTAAAAACTCCTTTCTTCACATTCTGGTTTACTTCTATTTAGCAGTTATTTGATTGTAACTTATATTAGAGTTCTTTGTGTTTGTGTTGTCTGTCCAGCTTCTCTTTCTAGGCCACGAGTTAGTCGAGGAAAAAAAGTAGATCTTATTTATTTCCAGATTCTGTGTGGTGTCCAGCAAGTGGCAGAAGCTTATAAATGTATGCTGAATGAATGTAAAAGCAGGTGGGTGATAAGAGACATCTGATGCTGCGGCTGGGGCCAGCTGGCATTTCCTCTCCTGTCCCAGCAGCCACACTCTATTCAACCTATCTGGCTACTCAACAGCCTCCCCCATCAGATTGTGAGCAACCAGAGGGCGATAACCAATCTGTCATGCTCACACGTGTGCCCCAGCCCCTAGCACAGAGCCACGCACAGAGCATTTGTTTAAATATTTGCTGAGACAAATGAATGATGTGTCCATTTAGTTCCCAGGAGCCTCGAGCATCTGCCCCCCACCCCTAACCCGAGCTCCCCAGGATGGATGGGGGAGGTCCTCTGTCTCAGGACAACCCATACCTCTGTCTGTAGGGCTCCCTACAGACAGAGATACCCAGGTAGTCCACAGGAGCTGGACCCGGCACACTTACTGGTGGTACATCCGCAGCACATCATAGAGATAGTCCTTCTCTGCATCATTTTCAATCAGAAAATCCACCTGGAAAACCCAGGGCAGAATTATAGATCCAGGCCCTGTAGCAGATGCCACGGAGAGGGAGACAACTGCCGGGAACATCCTCAGCATCTCCTCAGGGCAGGTGTTGAGTGGCGAGGAGGGAAGCCAGAGGCCAGGCCGGCCTTCTGACCCCAAACCCTCAGACCGTGCAGACCGCCCCAGTGTGGCTACAGGAGTACCTCTGCACATCCAGGTGTGGCAGGCCCGGCCTTGTCCCCAGGCAGGTGCACACACGTAGTCACATGTATGACAGCAATACACCACATGGCAGCAGTGCGGGCACTTACCCCCATGGCTCCGTCACCCATGTCCAGGGGAGCAACAACAATGTCAGCTCCCTGGTATGGAAGAAGCCTCCACCTTTTTTTTGTTTACCTGACGGTGGCTGTAGTGCCGGATAACAGCTTTCAGAAAGGATTTGGGCCACTCGCTCAGATAGCACATCCCACCCGTAGGAAGCACCCCACCACCGAGGTCTTCTACGTCACCAATGCCAGGGGCGACTCTTCCCTGTCCCCTCCTGGCCTAAGCTGGGTTGATCCTGACTCCTGGCCACTCCTTCCCCTCCTAGGTCCCTGAATGTACCCCCCCACACACACCCACACACCCCAAGTGGGAGAGTCCGGTTACATTATTTCATCTCTGCTGACGTCAATGGCTGGGACTCCAAGGTCAAGGTCAGGAACTGTTTCATTAGCACCTCAGTCCCAGGGGAGCTGGTGGGCCAATAGCCCCAAATTCCACTGCCTGGAACAGTTCAGTACGAATCTCTATGCACTATATCCTTGGCTCTCTCTTCAGCCTGAGACTGAGTAAGAGGGCAAGGTGGAGGCCTGAGGGAATCACTGGGTACCCCCCCTCTTGTCACCTCCAGGCCCAACAGCATGCCCCAGAGTCTCAGCCCCACACAGGAAGAAGCTGCTGCTGGAAGCTGCAAGCTCCCACCTGCCTGGTCCTCAGAGGAGCCCAGAGCAGCTTTGCCTCTTTCTATGGGTATCTCATGGATTCTAGAAGGCTAGGCCAGTCTGTCTGTCCCAACACATTAGGCCCAGCCCTGGGGATTTCCGACCTGAGCAGGGGTACAGAATGCAGATTGTTAGTCTCCACCTGACAATACCCCCTTGTCTCTAAAGTCAGGCTGACCATTTCAATGAAGATGAGAATTACCTAGGAGGCTTGCCCTCCGCTGACTCACAGTTGGGCTTCAGCTGCTGCAGGAGTTCACCCCCACCTGCTCATTGAGGGCACTCCTGCCTTCTCTTATTTCACCGCCCCTCTCCTCCAGGCCAGGGGCTCCGGGTCAGCTGGAAGATGGGGGATGGAAGCATCTGCTTTAGTGAGTGGTACTAAATCTTAGGGTGGTAGATTGGACTCTTGCACGTACCACATACGTGGGCACCTCCCAAAGCCCATCTCTGTGAGGACACAGCCTGGACTCTCTCCCTCCTCTGCCTGGGCCTATATGAGAGGGGTGGGGACCGCCTGAGATAAGTCTGGGCTGCCCACATTTGGCTGTGGTGGAGGAGTCTGAGCAGAGAAAGATTCTGAACTCCCCTAGAGTCAGGGGCCAGGAATAGTTTTATAAATTGGATCATATCGCTTGTTTAATAGCTTCTTGTTGTACTAAAATCAAATCCAAATCAAATTCCTTACCTTGACTTATCAAAGCCCAACTTCATCTCCTGCCACTTTTCCTGGCTACACAGGCCTCATACGGCCACCTTGCTTCAGCCTCAGGGACTTGGCATATGCTATTCCCTCTGCCTGGACTGCCTCCCACTTCCCTGCTCGTCCAGCCTCCTTCCCAGGGAGGTTTTCCGTCTCACCCACCCAAACAGAACCCATTCTACACCAGCTCCCTACCCTGACCTGTTCCAGTTCCTTCATTACAGCAATCGCATGTGTGATAAAAGGCTTTTTTGGTGAATTGGTTTGTTTCCTTCATCAGACAGAACACCCCCGTGAGGGGAAGAATGAGGTTCATTTGTTCTAAATCCCTTCTGCCTAACACATAGTAAGTGGTCAATAAATAAGCAGTGAATGAATTTGTCCATCCTCCTTCCTCCTGGTATGCCCACACAATCAGACAGGAGGAAGGGAATTATGGGAACAGAAGGGGAAGAGAAATAATGTTTGCAGAGGCCCAGGAGCTTTTCTTGGGCTTTCTCCCATTTGTTTATCTCACCAGCCCTATGAGGGTTATATTCTCACGCTATTTTGCAGATAAGGAAACTGAAGATCAGAGAGGTTGGGTCAACTCACCTGAGGTCCCACAGCTAATAAGAGCCAGAGGTAATATCTGAACCTTAGTCTAGCT